GCACAAACCGAACCGAATATAGCCATGAAGAAACGGTTCCAGTTCTTCAAAAAATATATAAAAACTGGACCAGTCCCACCCCTAATTGGCACTTTGAAGTCAGATGCAGCAATGGTGCTCAATTCTGTGTGAATTTGATTGAAAAATCTTGTACATGCAGAACATGGTCATTATCTGGTATACCTTGCAACCATGCACTTAGTGTTGTTTTCTTTCAGAAGGGATCTATTGAGGACTTTTTGTCTGAGTGTTACACTGTGGAAAAGTACTTAAATGCATACCAGCACACTATATATCCAATCAATGGTGTTGCTCTATGGGGCAATCAAAATTTTATACCCCCAATGCCACCAAACTTTGGAAGAGGTGCAGGAAGACCACCAAAGGCAAGGAGAAGAGAGGCAAATGAGCCTTCTTCTAAACACAAAAGAAATTTGAGAGCAAAAACTCTTACCAGAATGAAGAGGAACAAACATCAATCAATTGCATGAAATGTGGCACTTCAGGGCCTAATTCAGCTACATGTGGAAAAAAAAACCTCAATGACTGTAAGTGTATGTCTTTAATATTGTTTTAGTTGGAAATAATCATAAAATTTTAATAAATTGATAATTTGTTTGTTATTTCAGCAGGCAGGTATTACCAAATCCCTCAACCAACAAGAAAGCTCCTTGAACCCAATAGTTTTCACACAAGAAATCCCCACTCAACAATCCCAGACTCAGTTTATGCAAACTACACAGCCACATGTAAGTGGTATATCTTTAATATTGTTTTAGTTGGAAATAATCATAAAATTTTAATAACTTGATAATTTGTTTGTTGTTTCAGCAGGAAGGTGTACCAACTCCCTCAACCAACAAGCAAGCTCCTTGAACCCAACAATTTTCACACAACAAATCCCCACTCAACAATCCCAGACTCGGGTTTATGCAAACTACACGGCCACATGTGTCAGGCCCATCAATGTATGATCAACTAAGAGGTACCAACATGTCACAACCATCAAGAGCTACACAAGGACCTAATATCAGAGGGCCTGCAACTTTCACTGGAGAAAGACCCTTATTCTCTGCAAGAAGTAGCCTAACATCAGTTTCTGCGGCTTCAATAGTGGTTGACAAGGGCAAGAAATTTATGGAACTCAACCGGCAAGACAAGGGAAAAAATGATCCTGTGTAGTTTTATGTTGATGTTTAGATATTAGATTTTGTTGGAAATAGGTGGTTGGCAATAGCAGGTTGTTGTTTTTGAGAACTTAATGGAAGATCTTGTTGGTGTTTGGTTTGGATTGTTGTTTTGGTTGGTTTTGTATTGACAATGGTTGGATTTTGTTGGTTTTGTATTGACAATGGTGTGGATTTTGTTGGCAATGAATGGTAATTGTAGTCTTTTGTTGGCAAAAACCTTCACATGTAGAAATTTCATAATGGTAATTGTTGGTTATCTCTAATACAACAGCCTCATAAATGGCTCATGGCTTTGCCTCCCCTACTTGGTACACCCTTTTTGCATCACATTTTGCAATGTGATGGCTAATCAGCATGGTGTGCTTTGTGTGAAGCAGATAATGCCATCAAGATGTATCACATTGCAAAACCCACATGTCAAACTCTTTTGTTGGCATGTATACATACTTAAGTACATAATGCCAGAAACCCACAAACAACAACAAGACATAACTTAAATCAAGTACAGAACCTTAACATTCCACTAAACTTCAAACACATGAATACATTAGTTCAACATCTTTTACAATAACTTTAGATATCTAAAGCAAAACATCACCCCAAAATAAGTACCACTACAGCGATTACAACCTAAAATAGGTACCACTACAGCCATTACACCCTAGCATTACACATCAAACAACATATTCATGCATGTCCCTTGGGGCATTCTATCCCCAGTACAAAAAAACAAACTGAAAATAACAATTACAAACAACAATACAAAATACACTCTTGATCTCTTCTTTTCTTTTTTCAAATTGTTGACTTGGGCTTTCAGAATCTTGGTTTCTTTGATCAAATTACCAAGCTTAGTAATTTCAATTTGCATCTTCTCGATTTCCACTTTCATCATTTTGGTTTCATTCGTTCAATCTGTTAAGTAAGCCTGAAATAATTTGTTGAGACCGATGACACATAGGTGGCTCAGCCCAATCAAAGTAGTTACATCCTCCCCCCTGCGAAGGCCAGAAAAATAATATCTTGAACAGTAAAATTAAGCAAAGTTGGAACAAATGGGGAAAAAAATTCGAACTTACATTCCAATAATGACAGGAGAAAAACCTTGTTCCACAGTTTGGATACTTCCATGAAGTTCGACTCACGACTCTATGCCCGCAATCACAATCAGCATTTTCAGTAATCTATGACAACAATTTCGATTGAAGATAAAAAAAAATTAGGGTTCTTCGCCTTTAGGTTTTAAAATTTAAGGTGTGGTTTGATTTGGGGCTGAATCCCATTTTAATCAATGCTTTTGTCGATTGTACTTAGGTTACAGACACGCGGGCGTCCACGTTGGATCTATGTCAGCTAAACCGGGTTGAGTCAGCAGCTACCGGTTATTTTAGGTTAATTGTAAGTAAACTGGGCACAGGTTCCACATTTTATCAAGTTCCAGGGCAGTTATGCCAAACGGAAAAGAAGCTGTCAATTTTTGCAACAAGCCCGAAGTTACAGGGCAGTAAATGCAATTTTGCCTTATTTATTATTTATGTTGGGTAAAAATTCAAAATTGGTCCTATAATTTGGCCACTGTCCAAAAAACCACTCCTATATTGACCACTTTCAATTTAGATCCTATAATTTATCAATTTCATCAATTTTGGTCCTTTTTTATCCGTACCCTGGATTAAAAAGTGACGTGGCATGAAAAAAGGACCAACATTGATGAAATCGACAAATTATAGGACCAAAATTGACGTGCCACGTACCATGTAACCTTTAAAAATTAACACGTCATGCCACATCACTTTTTAATCCAAGGTCCGGATAATAAGGACCAATATAGGACCTAAATTGAAAGTGGTCAATATAGGGGTGGTTTTTTGGACAGTGACCAAGTTATATGACCGATTTTGAAATTTTGCCATTTCTGTTGGGCTTGTTGGAAAAGTAAGATTAGGGTTTTTTCTAGTCTTATTTAAAGTCCCCAGTTTCTTTGTTTTTCATAAGTTGAAGTTGAAATAAAACTTATGTAGTGAGATTGAAATATTCTTATCTTCTCCCACTCGTACGCTTCCCTACATCAGCTGATAGCGAAGACGTTCGACTCGATTTGTTTCATAGACAGTCTCGATTAGTTGTTTGAGTTTTGATCGTTTAAATAAATAAGCTGAGTCGAGCTCGAGTTTTCACAAGTCAAATCGAACTGTGTTCAGACAACTCGCACAGATGGAAAAATTTTCTGGCTACTCCCCTGCTTGTGGTATATGTAGACGACGTTTTGATTAAAGGTACAAATCCACAAAGCATATAGGATCTAAAGGCATACTTAGATGTGCTATTCACCTTAAAGAATCTTGGGTTGGCTAGATATTTGCTGTTGGCGATGCATGCTTTCTCATGCATGTATTTCATGTGCATGACTGGCTCCTCGGGGCATATTTTCTTAAACCTCTGTTTTATGTGTTTTTTGTGAAAAGCGTGTTTGTATTTCGAAGTATAGGAATATGTTGATTGTGGTTTTTCTTTTCCGTTGTTCGTTTGTGACAACTATCACCTTGTGACGAGCCTTAGTATAAAAGGCACGCGGTCATCTTCTTGAATGTAATCGATGCTTTGTGAATGAGATGATTCAGAATATGTTTCCCAAAAATGGCTGGTCTCCTCTACTCGATTTCATAGCTCTGAACGCCATGTCATGGTGTAGGACAATTTGTGATTTTCTGGTTTCAGGAGGAGTTGGGGAAATCTGAGGGCCCGGGAAATCGAGAATGTATATGGCTCGCGGCTTGACAAATTGATGACTGAGATTTATCAATACTTGGCGAACAGGACGAGTCCGTTTAGTAATGGTGTCTCGAGGAGCAGAGCAAAGAAGGAAGGAGAAGGAGAATAAGGGGAGAACGAGGAAATGGGAGTCCGAGAAGATTGCCAAAATCGTAAATTGCTTGCCTGAACACGACCATCCATTTTGCAGCCTGCACGACCATCCATCGTAAAATTTTGTAATAATGTTGACTCTATCAGATGCAGGTGATTAAAGGGGTGTATGTGAACTGAAAATGTAGAAATATGTATAACATAATTTATGGCAAGTCTTTTTTCTGAGAGTGAATGCACTATTTTCTTCTATAATTTTGCTGGATCAGTGTGATACTAACATTCTGTGTTCTTAGAGTCTGCTTTCTTCTCCAATTAAACTCTCCGAAGATTTTGATGATGAAATGAAATACCAGTACAAAATTCCCAAATCCTTAGAACAAAAATGTCGATGATTTCATAGCTTTACAATTTTTGATAATGGAGAGCATATTTGATGATGTTGTTGGTTTGGTTGATAACATTCTTTATCAGTATTTATACAGTTGGGATGAAACTGGAAGATTACAAATGCCAAATGTTTTGTTCAGTAACAATCAGACGACTTGTAGTTGAGGTTGGAGCATATGTAAAACTCGCGTTCGTCGCGACTAACAATGATAACAATGTGTAATGCTGCACCCTTTTTCACCTTGGCTTCTGCATAAGAGGTTGGATTAGCGAACAATGTGCGAAGATAACAGAGTAGTTATTAACCAGAATCTAAGTACGAACCAGCCTTATATCATAATTCCCAAATAACATACCAATCGGAATGATAATGATAGCACAACACGAATAATTCGCAACTCATGAAAATACATACTCAAATGTTTTGCAAGAACAAACAAGCTCATGGTTGATGACCACTTGACTAAGTTCAAATTCATATATCGAGATTACAAAAAATAATAAAATTGCACAACTTAGTGTGGTCACAAAATAAAGGGTGTTTATTATTCATGGTTATGCAGATGGTGTTGTTGCAGAGTCCTTATGATGATGGTCACCCTCAAGCTGGCTCAAATTGCCTTTCTCCTTGATGAGCTGAATATGGTGGTGTTTGCAGTAAAGCCGGCCCTCATGAGCTATGTAGTTGGACGGGCTTATCACGCACCCACCATGGCTGCACTTGAAGCAGCTCTTGTGGTACGGAGTACCATTCACAGACACCTGTCGGAATTTAACATGAAAAAAGTTGTTATTCAAAAAGTACACTTCTATTCTTCAAATAGTATTACCTATACCAAGAACGAGATACAATCGAGTTTTTATTTATTTACATATGTTTTTCTTTTACCTTTTCGGTTGGGTACACCGTGTTCTTGCAGGCCAGGCATTTCTCCCTTGTCCCGGCAAACATACTCGAAACTTTATTCGCCACAGGTTTCTGTATTCAATTACACGTTAGTCGAATGAACTATCATGTAACAAGAGCTAGATTGATTGAACAAAAGACTGTTTTACATGAAAAAAAAAAAAAAAAAAAAATTGTTCTCACCTCAATGTCAGCAGGTTTCTCTGGTTTTGCAATCTTAGGGGTTCCTAATGAAACCAAATCCAAGTTTCAATAGTTTATACATAACGAGACTTACTATAAATACTTCAGATCTAAAGCTAAATCGAATCTAATGTAATCCAAGCAAAACAGCCAAGTGCTAAAATTAGCAGCCACAGAGGTAGATTTATGTCGGGCATCTGTCTGTAACAGCTATAAATCTAGGGAGATGCTACCGTCCCGTAGGCGTTTGTAACAGTTAGATCAACTATCCCCTGCGGTTACATCATGATCTAACGGTTATAAATCCCGACGGAATATTTCGGGACCGTAGCATTTCCCCTAAAAATCTAATACCTTCAAAGCTTTTGTCCAAACTTCCAGTCCTTTTGAACAGCTGATCAAAGTGTGGCCTGCAATAGAGTACCCCTTCGAAGGAGTTGTAATTCGCCAGCTGCAAAGTAAATCTATGATTATTAACACACACACACACACACACACAAACACACACACACACACACACACACACACACATTTGTATGTATTTTCCAGTAAAAAGGTTATCAATCTTTGATCTACAGCAAATGGGTTTTTTTTCTTTAGAGGGATTTCTTTGATTTTGAGAGAGAGAAAAAGAAAGAAGTTAATAAACCTTGAGGGTGCCCTTGCAATGGTGGCATCTGAAGCAAGCCTTGTGGTAGACTCTGTTATCAGCTGTTAACTTGTCCACAAGATAAACTGTCTTCTCACAAGCCATGCATTTCTGTGTTGTTCCTGCAAATGCCATTTTCTTTTGGGAAATCAAGATTTGATTTTTTTTATTTTTTTTTTCTCTATTTTCTTTTTCTGGGTTTGTGTGTGTGTGTGTGTGTGTGTGTGTGTGTGTGTGTGTGTTTTCTTAAGATGGGGTGAGAGTGGGAGATGGAGAGATAAGGAATGGATATTGATTATTATAATCCTCGGG